AGATACACATTCCAGGCAGAATGTGGTCCACCTCAGAAGGGAGAGCACCCCCAGTTTGTGGGGATGTTCAGTTTTTAGGGGCTCGATAATTTCGTATGCTATTAAGTGGGAGGATTATTCCAACTATTTGGGGGAAGGGGTGGGGATTTCTAGGAACTGGGCCACTGCCCATTTTGGGGCCTTTTATGGCCAGCTTGGGAACTGTCGTGGAGCCTGTGGGCGTGTCATTTAGCATGCTAATGTATTACAATGAGCTCCTAATGAGGCTCGAGGTCTGCTGGAAGTTGAATCTTCTGCCATCTTGGGCCTAGTTGGTCCTAACCAGTTTTTGTGGCATCCTCAATGGCTGTGTCTTTCTTTTACAGGTTGTGCCCCACCCTTTTCCCTATCTCACAATCAAGTAGCAAGTTTTCTTCGCAACCAGCACCCACACTTAGGTGTGTCCCAAAGGTCACCTCATTAACATGAAAAGAGACACCATTATTGTTCTTAACACTTAGGAAATTCCAAGGATTTTAGAAGCTCTGTGGCAGGAACAGGGGCAAGATCAAATATATATTTATTATCAATCACAATATCACATGCATTTGCACTCAGCCTCCACAGTAGGGGAGCTGGCTACAATGCGGTGGAGAAAATCCCAGTAATACGTTCTCCTCCGTCCCCAGCTGCCCACCCCACCCAGTCTCCCAGGGATACTGTGGGAGCGGCATCACGAAACACCAGCAGAGGGCATGTCCTGCAGGAACCACACTAGCCTTAGAGTCTAGACGCTGGGGAGGATCGAGGTCTGCAGGGAACCAGAATGTGCTCGCCCTGTAACAGGCACTCAGCTCAGATGTAAGCTACTTTTATTTTATTCTGAGATGTAACACACATACAATACAGTGTACAAATCTTAAGCAAACTGTTTTATAAATGTTGACAGATGCATACACATGCGGAGTCATCTCCAAGATCAAGATAAATAAGATTCTATAACACACTTTCAGCACCCTGGAGGGCTCCTTCCCACCCTGTCCCAGTCAGTATCAGCCCCTTCCGAGGTCACCGCAGTTCTGATTTCTATCACTGTAGATTCGTTTTGCCTTTTTTGCATTTCAAATAATACAGCATATACCCTTCAACGTCTGACTCCCCTCACCCAACGTTGGGTCTGTGAGATTCATTCCTATGAGATACATGTTCTTTTGTGTAGCAGTCTTCTTTTGCTGAGAAGTATTGTATGAATTGTATGCATTTGGGTTGTATTCATTTTTGGAGCTACTGTGAGCAATGTTTTTACAACATTCTTGCATATTTATTTTGTCGGATATGTGCCCTCACTTCTCCTGAATATGTACTTAGGGGTAGAATGTCTGGACCATACGATAGCATATGTTGAGCTTCAGCAGACACTCTCAGATGATTTTCCAAAGAATTTGTACTCTCTTCAGCAACATACGAGCACGCAGTCACTCCGTATCTTCACCAAGAGTTCATATTGTCGATATTTATAATTTTAGCAATTCTGGTGGTATCAAGTTCAGATTTTAAAATCCAATGTGCTGACCAAACATAAAGGGTCTGCCGGTAGCTACTATGAAACTTCTGCACCTAAGGGATTTCCATTGCCTGTGCAGGTGCCCCCCACCCCTTACACACACACCTGGAAGCCAGGCTCCTCCTCCCCTCCTCCAAGCACTCCTGTGGAGCCCTTTCTGAGTCCAGAGTTCATTGTCCCATGCAGTGTTCCCATCTCTCCACCCCATATCTACCCAGTGGTAACATGCATGAATGATGCACATGGAGTCCACGGTGTATATTAGGATGTGGTTATGATTATGAGTTTTAACATCATTACCACCACCATTATTTGGACATGCATACATGCAAAAGGTACACAGTTCAAAAGATGTATTAGTTATCTGTTACTGCAGAGCAAGCTAGCTCGAGATTTACTGGCTTGAAACAATAAACATTTATTATGCCACACGGTCTCTGTGGCCCAGGAATTGGAGAGTGGTTCGGCTGGATGGGTCTGCCTCAAGGTCTCTCAGGAGGATGTAGTTAAGACGTCAGCCCGGGCTGGTCATGTCAGGGCTTCTCTGGGGCTGGATGACCTCCTTCTGGGATGGCTCCCTCACACTCTGGCAAGCTGGTGCTGGCTGTTGGCAGGGGGCCTCAGTTTCTCACCACGTGAGCCTCTCCATAGGGCTGCTTGACCATCCTCATGACTAAGCAGCTGGCCTCCCCCAGAGCGAGTGATCCAAGAGCAAAGCAGAAGCCAAAATGTCTTTTATGACATATTTTGGAAAGTCACACTCTGTCACTTCCACAATATCCCGTGAGTTACGGAGGTTCACTGTTTCCAGTGTAGGAGGGGACTGGGAGGTGGGGGGAACGCTGAAGGGGTATAAAATGTGAGTCTCCTTCCCATGTGTGTGAGCTGCTCATTTTCTTCTCCAGAGGCAACTGCTGGAGCCAGTTTCTTGTGAATACTTCCAGCAATATTTTTCATACATACTCACACAGGAACTCACACTTACTCCAGTCTTGCACTTTACTTTTTTCATTCACTGTATCTTGGAAATCCTTCCACATCTGGACATGAAGACCTGCCTGCTTCTCTTTAAGTGTGCTCAACCATTCCGTTGCATGGATATGCTATAATTTATTTAATCAGTCTGCCATCGATGGACATCTGTGATGGATATCTGGGTTTCCCCCATTGTTTTCTTACTATAAGCGAAGCTGCAATGGATAAATGTGAGCATATATCCTTTTGCACCAGAATAAATGTCTAGAACTAGACCAGCTGGACAGAAGGCTCTGGGCATTTTTCAATGTGGTAGATGTTGCTGCATTGCCCACCACGGAGGTTGAGTGGGACAATTGTGGGACTCCCCCAACAGCAAAGGCATGGATTTTATGAAGCATTGAAGGGTAATGGCCAAAGATGTGGGGCATCTTGGGCAACTCAGCAAATAATTCAAAATGGAATATCACCCACTCCTGCCGTTTGAAACTTTCTTCCATGCACTCCTCAGCCAGAGAGCTTCCCCTGGCCCTCTCCCACACCGTGAGCTGGGCCTTTTTCTCTCTCTAGCTTGCTTGTTTGTTCCTGGCCCTTAAAATTCCTGTTCTTGCCTTAAATGCAGCAGGTGAAGAGTTCTCCACCAGCCAGACCCCAAAGGCTGACTGTTCAATGCCAAAATGGTGCTCTGAGATGAGTTATCCAACCAAGACCATCCTCACCAGAGAAGACGTCTGCTCTGTCTTCTGTCCTCTGCTGTGGTGAGCTTTTCTTGCTACTCACGGATAAGCATTTGTTCACAGGTCTGCGCCCTGCTCAGCTGTGAGCCCCACAAGGGCAGAGACAGTGCCTCATTCATCTCTGCATCTGCTGCTCAGCGGTGGCACAAAGAGTGTCAGATAACTGTTTGCTTAATGAATGAATGAATGACTCAAATGGAACCCTGTCAAACCAGTGCTGTCAGAGGCCTTTTGGCTTTATTTACCCTATCTGGGTGTGTCTAAATCATTGTGAAGGTTATACTTAGACACAAATATTTATTCATCCACCTGAAGCATTTTTCAAAGGGCAGTGTTTCTTTTTGTCTTTCTTGTTCTTGCCTTTGGCCTACTCAGAGCCTCATGGGGACTCCCACGATGGGAACAGGCACAGTAATGTCCGCAAACACGAAAAGGATGTGCAGATTTGGAATGACAAATACGGGAGCAAACATATCCAGGGAAAGGAATAAATACTGACATTGCAGGGTGAGGGGGAGGGGGAGCCACTGCAGTTTCATGGTTCAGAGTATAGATGTGGTCTTGGTTTCAAATCCAATGCTTGAGCAATCCAAAATCTAAAAATCTTGAAAAATTTTTTCTTTTGAAATCAGTTTCCAAGCATCTCAGCTGTCCTCCTTTAAAACTAATCTTCGTAACCATTTAAATAGACGTCTTTCCCCAATGTCCCACATTTCCAAGGCCTTGAGACGCAGCCTCAGGTGTGTAATTGACCAAGAAGGCAGCATGGGGAATCATGGGGACGTGATCAGTTCAAGATCTGCCCATTGTAAGTAGGATGGCCTGTTTCCTTCCTTCCTTCCTCTTTCTTTCTTTCTTTCCTTTTTTCCTTCTTTCCCTCTTTCCTTCTTTCTTTCTTTTTCTTTCTTTCTTTTCCCCACTTCTGTTTTGAATACATTCAACCTGACAGAAGAGTTGCAAGAAAAAGTATGATGAAAAGCTGTAAGTCAGGGGCCAGCCAACTCCAGCTGTTTTTGTAGGACCCATGAGCCAAGAAGGGCTTTCACATTTTTAAGTAGTTGAAAAAACTCAGAAGCAGCTTTCACATGACACACGAAAACAAAGTGCCATTTGCTGAGCGCCTGCGCACTGTCTACGCCCCGTTCACTCTGTAACAGCAGAATTGAGTAATTACTGCATGGATCCTGGCTTGCAAAGCCCACAATATTTACTATGTGATGCTTCACAGAAGAAGTTTGCTGACCCCTGCCCTAGAATCACCCACTGTTAATGTTCCGCACCCCGCTCCCTGTTTTCTCTGCTCTTGCTGAGACATTTCTGTTGGTCTCAATACTTCACCCCAGGTGCTTTAGCATCTGTCCCACTGTCTTAAGCCTAGAGCTGTAAATGACAGGTCTAGCCTGGGGAGAGATAAGATGATACATAATCTTTAACATACAGTGCTTGGCACTCAGGCAGAAAGGTAACAATCAATCCAGTACAAATTTCTGGCATTTTCCACAGAGGTGATTGCTGGAACCTCTAACCTGAAAACCTTGAGCCTCGGAGCTTTCCTGAGAGCCTGGTTCCCAAAGTCTGGAAACCAGTTTTCCCTCAGATAGGGCTTCTTACTTAAGGAACAGAAAAAGCCTCAGGGAGACTTCATTTTTTCCACAGCTTGTGGCTTGGCTGACTCAACTTCTGCCTTTCCCTGAGTCACGAGTTTTTCCTCTTATTTGGAGGAGCACAGCCCTCCACCCAGGTCTTCTCCGCCCACGGCTGGTCCCTGGTGGGAAGGGGTGGACGGCTCGAGGGTGAGATTTGCGCTGCTTCCAGGGGATTTCCCAGAGTTCCACCCACTTCCATAGAATGTCATCCCCGGAGGGAAGGACAGATGAGGAGACGGAGGCCCCCGTGGGCCCTGGACCAGCAGTGAGACAAAGCTAGTTGGGGTCTTCTGACTCCAGGACCAACAGGTATGCATTTTCTCTCTGATTTTCCAGAACCATGAAAAGGCCTCTGTTTCCTGGATACCTGCTCTGTGCCAGGCACAGACTTAGATGCCAGAGAGCTGTCTCAAACAAGCCTTCACAGGGCTTTCCAGCTTCCTTCCCATGGCCACCTCACCCCAGGCAGGGCCTACCATCCTGGAGAAGCTCCCTCTTGCTAGAGAGGTGGGGGATCTGGCACTGGAACATGGCCTTGAAGGCTAGGCTCTAAGTCCCCCTCCATCCCCCACCCCCACTCCTTCCCCCTGCCCACAACGAGCATGTGTACACTTGGGATGGCATTTCCCAGTGTCTCAATGTCCCAAGTGACCTCCCTGGTTACAACTCAGCTTCTGGCATCCTGGGGCCTTGTCTCTCTCTCCTCTGTCTGGTGTACAGGCCCTGTTATACCATCGGAATTCATAAATTCAAATGCTTATTCAATTGCAGGTTGAAAACTGGGTAAAGTAGGGTGAGAGAAAAACCACGGAGAATGGTGGGGACTGTGGTGAATGGGAGAATATGTGTCCCATCTAAAGGGGACAACTCTGTGTGAAGATAGGGGACCAGAATCTTGAAGTCCTCTGATTTAAGAGAAGCTGAAAATCCTTATATCTGTGTGTCATCTCTCAAGATGAAGTGTTGACAATGCATTTTACAAACGTTTAGATACTTTTGTGAGGCTGACGCTTCTGTCGGGTGAGCATTAATAGCCGTGAAAGTGGTGGAGGTAGGGGGGTGGCGGGGGATGTGGACTCTCCAAGGCCACGGCTGGTGGCCCCTCACTTGCCTATTGTCTCCATCCCTCCTCTTTCTCTTGGCCTCTCCCTGCTGTCTCCTGTCTTGCCCCATCCCCTTCCCTTGTCGGAATGTGCCCATGTCTTGGCCCCACTCCACTTGGGCTGCGTGCCCCACCTCACAGCCTCTGCCCACACCGCCCAGCAGAGCGGGTCACCACTGCTCAGCTCACGCCTCCCAGCACCGGACCTCCAGGCTCGAGCCCCAGGCAGAGTCAGAGGTCTGGACCTAGGCACCTGGAGCAGGATCAGCGCTTCCTCCTGCTGCTGTCTCTTGCCTTGGCCCTGGCCCAGCAGGCACTGCCCTAGCCTGAGCCAGCCCCTCTTCACAGTGCCCAGGTCTGCCTTATTTGGCAAGACAAACTCATCTGTGCAACAGACATTCACTGAACTCTGAACTCAGTTCTCAGCACTGGAGAGAATGGAACAAACAAGATGAATACAGTCCAGCCCACGGGGCTCACAGCCTAGGTCGGGGAGACATGGCATGAACACATAAACAAGTGACCTAATTAGATGACTTCAGGTTGAGAGGGTGCTTTACAAAATAATAAAACGGGGTGAGGTAGATGAGGGTGATGGGGTGGCTCAGGGAAGCCTCTGAAGAGGTAACAGTTTGAGTTGGACCTAAATGCTAAAAATGCAGCCATGGGAAGATCTGGAGGCAAAAAGGAAGTGCAAAGGCCTGGAGGTGAAAAAAACCTTGGGGTTTTGAAGAACAGGAAGAAGCTCGCGGGAGATGAAGTGTTCAGAGGAGGCCAGAGGGAGGCTGAGACAGCCCTTGAGTCGCAGAGCGCTGCAGCTTGGACTTTGATTTCAGTGTCATGGGTGGGGAACCATAACTCACTGGTAATGTTGGAGCTGGGTGATGGGTACACGGAGTCCATTATATTAGTCTCTTTCCTACAGCGTATGTTTTAAAGTTTCCACTGTAAAAAGTTTAAATTACAAAGCAGATAAAATGCTGCTGATTTTTAATATTATGATTATCAGTCTCTCTGTTGCAGAGAGATGACGATGCTAGCTAGCAGCAGGGAAGCCCGCCAGAGGCGGCACAAGGCAAAAAGCCACCGCCTCCCTCCCCCTTCCCCTGGCCCGCAGGCCCCAGTCGGGCGAGGACTAAGACTCCCGTGGGGCGAGAGCTGCCAGCGGGAGGAGCACGGTGACAGAAAGGGACACTGGGAGGGTCGGGGCTCGAGACTGCAGAGTCAGCCCCAGGAACGAACGAGAAGTTAAAGGCCCGGCCCACGCGGGCGCGCACAGCCGACCCACTCAAACTCGGGCCGCTCCGCCTGCGCACATTTCTGGGGAACTTGGGCTCCAGGAGTTGGCGTCCAGGCTCCGCCCCCGCCGCGCGCCGGGGTTCCGATTGGCGGAGCCGCCGCGAGGGGCGTGTCCGGGAGGGC